GATCAAGTTAATATGACAACTGTTGTTTAAAAGTTAATATCAACTGTTCTTTCTTGATAAGTTAATATGACAACTGTTCTTTCACTTGAAAGTTAATATGACAACTGTTCTTTCACTTTGAAAGTTAATATGACAACTGTTTCTTTCACTTTCAAAAGTTAATATGACAACTGTTCTTTCACTTTCAAAGTTAATATGACAACTGTTCTTTCACTTTCAAAGTTAATATGACAACTGTTCTTTCAATTTCAAAATTAATATGACAACTGATTTTCAAAGTTAATATGACAACTGTTCTTTCAAAGTTAATATGACAACTGTTCTTTCACTTCATAAGTTAATATGACAACTTTCCTTTCACTTGATCAGTTCATATGACAACTGTTCTTTCACTTGATCAGTTAATATGACAACTGTTCTTTCACTTGATAAGTTAATATGACAACTGTTTTTTCTCTTGATAAGTTAATATAACAACTGTTCTTTCAATTTCAAAATTAATATGACAACTGTTCTTTCACTTGATCAGTTAATATGACAACTGTTCTTTCACTTGACAAGTTAATATGACAACTGTTCTTTCTCTTACTTAAGTTAAAATGACAACTGTTCTTTCACTTTCAATGTTAATATGACAACTTACTTTCAAAGTTGATATAACAACTGTTCTTTCACTTGATCAATTAATATAACAACTGTTCTTTCACTTTCAAAGTTAATGCGACAACTGTTCTTTCACTTTCAATCTTAATATGAGAACTTCCTTTCACAGTTAATATGACAACTGTTCTTTCTCTTGACAAGTTAAAATGACAACTGTTCTTTCACTTACTAAGTTAATATGACAACTGTTATTTCACTTCCAAGTTAATATGATAACTGTACTTTCAAAGTTAATATAATCACTTGATCAATTAATATAACTGTTCTTTCACTTGATCACTTTCAAAGTTAATATGACAACTGTTCTTTCACTTGATAAGTTAATATGACAACTGTTCTTTCACTGATAAGTTAATATGACACTTTGAAAGTTAATATGACAACTGTTCTTTCACTTGATAAGTTGACAACTGTTCTTTCACTTGATATGACAACTGTTCTTTTTCAAGTTAATATGACAACTGTGATAAGTTAATATGACAACTCACTTTGAAAGTTAATATGACAACTGTTCTTTCACTTGATAAGTTAATATGGCAACTGTTTTTTCAATTGATCAGTTAATATGACAACTGTTCTTTCACTTTCAAAGTTAATATAACAACTGTTCTTTCACTTTCAAAACTAATATAACAACTGTTCTTTCAATTTCAAAATTAATATGACAACTGATTTTCAAAGTTAATATGACAACTGTTCTTTCAAAGTTAATATGACAACTGTTCTTTCACTTCATAAGTTAATATGACAACTTTTCTCACTTTCAACTGTTTTTTCAAAGTTAATATGACAACTGTTGTTTCACTTGATAAGTTAATATGACAACTGTTCTTTCACTTGCTAAGTTAATATAACAACTGTTCTTTTATTTGATCAAGTTAATATGACAACTGTTCTTTCACTTGATAAGTTAATATGACAACTCACTTTGAATGTTAATATAACAACTGTTCTTTCTCTTGATAGATTAATATGACAACTGTTCTTTCACTTGATTAATTAATATAACAACTGTTCTTGCACTTGATAAGTTAATATGACAACTGTTCTTTCAATTTCAAAATTAATATGACAACTGATTTTCAAAGTTAATATGACAACTGTTCTTTCAAAGTTAATATGACAACTGTTCTTTCACTTCATAAGTTAATATGACAACTTTCCCTTCACTTGATCAGTTCATATGACAACTGTTCTTTCACTTGATCAGTTAATATGACAACTGTTCTTTCACTTGATAAGTTAATATGACAACTGTTCTTTCACTTTCAAAGTTAATATAACAACTGTTCTTTCACTTTCAAAACTAATATAACAACTGTTCTTTCAATTTCAAAATTAATATGACAACTGATTTTCAAAGTTAATATGACAACTGTTCTTTCAAAGTTAATATGACAACTGTTCTTTCACTTTGAAAATTAGTATGAGAACTCACTTTCAAAGTTAATATGACAACTGTTGTTTCTCTTGATAAGTTATTATGACAACTGTTCTTTCACTTGCTAAGTTAATATAACAATTGCTCTTTTATTTGATCAGTTAATATGACACCTGTTCTTTCTCTTGATAAGTTAATATGACAACTCACTTTGAATGTTAATATAACAACTGTTCTTTCTCTTGATAGATTAATATGACAACTGTTCTTTCACTTGATTAATTAATATAACAACTGTTCTTGCACTTGATAAGTTAATATGACAACTGTTATTTCACCTTCAAAATTAATATGACAACTCACTTTCAAAGTAAATATAACAACTGTTTTTTCACCTTCAAAGTTAATCGACAAATGTTCTTTCACTTGCTAAGTTAAAATGACAACTGTTTTTTCACTTGATCTGTTCATATGAAAACTGTTCTTTCATTTGCTAAGTTAATATGACAACTGTTTTTTCACATGCTGATTTAATATAACAACTGTCATTTCACTTGATAAATTAACATGACAGGTGTTATTTCACTTGCTAAGTAAATATGAAAACTGTTCTTTCACTTGCTGAGTTAATATAACAATTGTTCTTTCACTTTCAAAGTTAATAGAAAACTCACTATCAAAGTTAATATGACAACTGTTCTTTCTCTTGATAAGTTAAAATTACAACTGTTCTTTCACTTTCAAAGTTAATATAACAACTGTTGTTTCACTTTCAAATTTAATATGACAACTGTTCTTTCACTTGATTAGTTTATATGACAACTGTTCTTTCACTTGATTAGTTTTTATAGTTCCTACTCTTGAATTGATATGACAACTCACTTTCAAAGTTAATATAACAACTGTTCTGTCACCTTCAAAGTTAATATGACATATCACATATCACCTTCTAAGTTAATATGACAACTGTTCTTTCAATTTCAAAATTAATATGACAACTGATTTTCAAAGTTAATATGACAACTGTTCTTTCAAAGTTAATATGACAACTGTTCTTTCACTTCATAAGTTAATATGACAACTTTCCCTTCACTTGATCAGTTCATATGACAACTGTTCTTTCACTTGATCAGTTAATATGACAACTGTTCTTTCACTTGATAAGTTAATATGACAACTGTTTTTTCTCTTGATAAGTAAATATAACAACTGTTCTTTCAATTTCAAAATTAATATGACAACTGTTCTTTCACTTGATCAGTTAATATGACAACTGTTCTTTCACTTGACAAGTTAAAATGACAACTGTTCTTTCACTTACTAAGTTAATATGACACTTGTTCTTTCACTTCCAATGTTAATATGACAACTTACTTTCAAAGTTAATATAACAACTGTTTACACATGAAATACGGAGATATTTTCAGAAAAGTGTTTTCCTTTGGTAAGAATATTATATCTATTGAAAAAAATCGAAATACGAAATTGGCAGTTTTCTTTCCTGGACTGAGACTTTAAAAATTATTACTTAAAAAGAAAAATCATAATCTGTTTTCCTGGCGAATCCCAAAATCAAAATAACTGGGCACCAATGGCAAATATGAGAAAGATCTATCCAGTATAATCCATCTGAAAATTCTCAAGGATATAGCAATAGCAAAACTTTGTCTGTCAAAATCTAAGATAGCCACCAGTCAGCTAGTTATTTTCTGATCAATTAAAAAGAATTTAAATGGGCACAACAATGGAACAAGAAGAACATTCATATGTTCACATAGGCAATTGGAGGAAGATCCATCTAGTCCTCAGCAATAACAATATTTTGGATGGACAACACAAAGTGCTATTTCAATCTGATGATAATGTCTCAATGAAAACAAGGTACAACATAGAATTGAAGCTTAATATGAAGAATAAGTATCATTGTACTGGAGGTGTAATAAACAGATCATACTGATCTGTGTGTCAATGATAGACACTCGTTTTTCCCTACATTACTGTAGTGGAGGTGTAATAAACAGGTCATACTGATCTGTGTGTCAATGATAGACACTCGTTTTTCCCTACATTACTGTAGTGGAGGTGTAATAAACAGGTCATACTGATCTGTGTGTCAATGATAGACACTCATTTTTCCCTACATTACTGTAGTGGAGGTGTAATAAACAGGTCATACTGAGCTGTGTGTCAATGATAGACACTCGTTTTTCCCTACATTACTGTAGTGGAGGTGTAATAAACAGGTCATACTGAGCTGTGAGTCAATGATAGACACTCGTTTTTCCCTACATTACTGTAGTGGAGGTGTAATAAACAGGTCATACTGATCTGTGTGTCAATGATAGACACTCGTTTTTCCCTACATTACTGTAGTGGGGTGTAATAAACAGGTCATACTGATCTGTGTGTCAATGATAGACACTCGTTTTTCCCTACATTACAGTAGTGGAGGTGTAATAAACAGGTCATACTGATCTGTGTGTCAATGATAGACACTCGTTTTTCCCTACATTACTGTAGTGGAGGTGTAATAAACAGGTCATACTGATCTGTGTGTCAATGATAGACACTCGTTTTTCCCTACATTACAGTAGTGGAGGTGTAATAAACAGGTCATACTGGTCTGTGTGTCAATGATAGACACTCGTTTTTCCCTACATTACTGTAGTGGAGGTGTAATAAACAGGTCATACTGAGCTGTGTGTCAATGACAGACACTCGTTTTTCCCTACATTACTGTAGTGGAGGTGTAATAAACAAGTCATACTGGTCTGTGTGTCAATGATAGACACTCATTTTTCCCTACATTACTGTAGTGGAGGTGTAATAAACAGGTCATACTGAGCTGTGTGTCAATGATAGACACTCGTTTTTCCCTACATTACTGTAGTGGAGGTGTAATAAACAGGTCATACTGAGCTGTGTGTCAATGAGAATTATCCAAATAATAACTTACTTGTGGAACATAGAAAAGGTTTCCCTTTTCTGGCTTGGTCAGTGTACCACCAAATAATGGCCATAACTGGAAACAAAAAACAAAAGCCATATCTATCAAACAAAATACTTGACATCAGTTAAATAAACTGTAAAATATTTTTTACTTTTTTTCAAAACAATTGCAGACATTGAGCTAAATTCAAATGTTTAAAAGATAGAAACACCATTTTTCAAACTGAAGAAATGTAAATTTCAATGAAAAATATACAGAAATAGCTCACCTACACACTAAGGACAGGCAAAGAATAAAGTGTACACATTGATTTCAGGTAAATACTAGAGTGTACACACTAAGTACAGGTAAATAATAAAGTGTACACATTAATTGCAGGTAAATACTAGAGTGTACATACTAATTACAGATAAACACTAGAGTGTACACACTAAGTACAGGTAAATACTAATGTGTATCTACTAACTACAGGTAAATACCTGAGAGTTCACATTAAGTACAGGTAAATACTAGAGTGTGCACACTTATTACAGGTAAATACTTGAGAGTTCACCTTAAGTACAAGTAAATGCTAGAGTGTGCACACTTATTACAGGTAAATACTAGAGTGTACATACTAATTACAGGTAAATAATAAAGTGTACACATTTATTACAGGTAAATAATTGAGAGTTCACACTTAGTACAGGTAAACACTAGAGTGTACACACTAAGTACAGGTAAATAACAAAGTGTACACATTAATTACATGTAAATAATTGAGAGTTCACACTAAGTACAGGTGTATACTAGTGTGTACACACTAAGTACATGTAAAGAATAAAGTGTACACATTAATTACAGGTAATAACTAGAGTGTACACACTAAGTACAGGTAAATAATAAAGTGTACTCATTAATTACAGGTAAATACTAGAGTGTACATACTAATTACAGGTAAACATTTGAGAGTTCACATTAAGTACAGGTAAAAACTAGAGTGTATCTACTAATTACAGGTAAATACTTGAGAGTTCACATCAAGTACAAGTAAATACTAGAGTGTGCACACTTATTACAGGTAAATACTAGAGTGTACATACTAATTACAGGTAAATAATAAAGTGTACACACTAATAACAGGTAAATAATTGAGAGTTCACACTTATTACAGGTAAACACTAGAGTGTACACACTAAGTACAGGTAAATAACAAAGTGTACACATTAATTACATGTAAATAATAGAGAGTTCACACTAAGTACAGGTGTATACTAGTGTGTACACACTAAGTACATGTAAAGAATAAAGTGTACACATTAATTACAGGTAATAACTAGAGTGTACACACTAAGTACAGGTAAATAATAAAGTGTACTCATTAATTACAGGTAAATACTAGAGTGTACATACTAATTACAGGTAAACATTTGAGAGTTCACATTAAGTACAGGTAAAAACTAGAGTGTATCTACTAATTACAGGTAAATACTTGAGAGTTCACATCAAGTACAAGTAAATACTAGAGTGTGCACACTTATTACAGGTAAATACTAGAGTGTACATACTAATTACAGGTAAATAATAAAGTGTACACACTAATAACAGGTAAATAATTGAGAGTTCACACTTAGTACAGGTAAACACTAGAGTGTACACACTAAGTACAGGTAAATAACAAAGTGTACACATTAATTACATGTAAATAATTGAGAGTTCACACTGTATACTAGTGTGTACACACTAAGTACATGTAAAGAATAAAGTGTACACATTAATTACAGGTGTGTACACACTAAGTACAGGTAAATAACAAAGTGTACACATTAATTACAGTAAATAATAAGAGTGTACAGGTGTATACAGTGTGTACACACTAAGTACATGTAAAGAATAAAGTGTACACATTAATTACAGGTAATAGAGTGTACACACTAAGTACAGGTAAATAATAAAGTGTACTCATTAATTACAGGTAAATACTAGAGTGTACATACTAATTACAGGTAAACATTTGAGAGTTCACATTAAGTACAGGTAAAAACTAGAGTGTATCTACTAATTACAGGTAAATACTTGAGAGTTCACATCAAGTACAAGTAAATACTAGAGTGTGCACACTTATTACAGGTAAATACTAGAGTGTACATACTAATTACAGGTAAATAATAAAGTGTACACACTAATAACAGGTAAATAATTGAGAGTTCACACTTATTACAGGTAAACACTAGAGTGTACACACTAAGTACAGGTAAATAATAAAGTGTACACATTAATTACAGGTAAATAATTGAGAGTTCACACTTAGTACAGGTAAACACTAGAGTGTACACACTAAGTACAGGTAAATAACAAAGTGTACACATTAATTACAGGTAAATAATTGAGAGTTCACACTAAGTACAGGTGTATACTAGTGTGTACACACTAAGTACAGGTAAAGAATAAAGTGTACACATTAATTACAGGTAATAACTAGAGTGTACACACTAAGTACAGGTAAATAATAAAGTGTACTCATTAATTACAGGTAAATACTAGAGTGTACATACTAATTACAGGTAAACATTTGAGAGTTCACATTAAGTACAGGTAAAAACTAGAGTGTATCTACTAATTACAGGTAAATACTTGAGAGTTCACATCAAGTACAAGTAAATACTAGAGTGTGCACACTTATTACAGGTAAATACTAGAGTGTACATACTAATTACAGGTAAATAATAAAGTGTACACACTAATAACAGGTACATACTTGAGAGTTCACATTAATAACAGGTACATACTTGAGAGTTCACACTAATTACAGGTAAATACTTGAGTGTACATACTAATTACAGGTAAATACTTGAGAGTTCACATTAAGTACAAGTAAATACTAGAGTGTCCACACTTATTACAGGTAAATACTTGAGAGTTCACATTAAGTACAAGTAAATACTAGAGTGTCCACACTTATTACAGGTAAATACTTGAGTGTACATACTAATTACAGGTTAATACTTGAGAGTTCACATTAAGTACAAGTAAATACTAGAGTGTCCACACTTATTACAGGTAAATACTTGAGTGTACATACTAATTACAGGTAAATACTTGAGAGTTCACATTAAGTACAAGTAAATACTAGAGTGTCCACACTTATTACAGGTAAATACTAGAGTGTACATACTAATTACAGGTAAACACCTGAGAGTTCACACTAATTACAGGTACATACTGAAGTGTTCAGATAAGTACTCAAGTGTAACACTTAACTCCCTTCACCATCAAACTTCCATATTCTTTCAATCTCAAATTGTGCCTCAAATGCTACCTTCATTCCGCTACTGGGTTCAACCCCTCTTCTCAACAGTACAACTAACTTTTATTCTGTTATCACAGGAATGCTCCATACCAAATTAGGTTTTACCCCCATTATCCATACCTGTGACTCATGATCTACTATCTTTGACATCTCCCTTCAGTCCTATGGAACTTTGGGAGGGGGAGTGGGGTAATTGTTTGAGGTTTTTCAACTACATGTATCTTCTCTAAAGGTCCCCACTGTTAAATGTACCTATAGCGTGAGCTACACCAAACTTTTCATCAAAAGAAAACAACTACCATTGGGTAAACTCAGTAACAATTGCTTTTTAATCATGACGAAGGAAGTAATTTCTAACAAAATGAACTGGAAACAGTAATTGCACAAATGAGGTACTGTTAGTTAATGACAAACAGTTATCAAACCACACAGAATGCTGATCACAATTACCATTTAACATTAAGCAACGTTAACGAGAAATACAAATTAAAACAAGAGATCCCAGAGGGATCTTGGCGCCCACCATTGTTTGATCTTTGTATGCTCTTTGAAAGTTGGATCTTTTTCTTATTTTCTCTTCTTTTCTCTGTTTTTGCTCTTAATGATGAGACATTTGAACATCCTTTTGCAGAAATAGCAATGATAATCTTACCTGCCAAATCAAAAATGGCCGCCTTCTGATCAGTCCCAAAATCAAACGAGCACAAGGAGAGCCCAAAGGGAACATACATATAAAATTTGAGAGATATCCATTCAATTCTTCCTAAGGCTCAAGGCTGTTCAGTTGTTATAGGGGGGACGAGTGGGGGATCAAATTTAATAATTATTGCAATAATTATCAAACTGAAACATCTTTTTTTAGTTTTTTTCTCTTAAATGTCATTTGATGATATATTTCAAAACTTCATTAGAATAAATGACAAAAAATATGCCATTGTTGAAAAGTAGGTCACTGTAATTAAGTGCCCTAATTACTAGTTAAGTCACACTTGAGCACCGTTTTTTCTCTTAATACATCTATAAACAATACGTTTATCATGTGCAGTGTATTTATTTGAAATATTTTTGCAAATATGGATGATATTAAAATGGTAAAAATTAATTTAGCACTGGGTTTCACAGGATCATAAATGACCATTGTCTATTACTTTAGGGATTGCATTTTTGTTTACTGCTTTAGTAAGGGGAATGGTGGTGTTGGGATATTCATTTAGGAGTCACTGTCGCTGTCACAATCTAACCAGTTCTCCACCGTCATTGCGTCATCAACACAACTAAGGAAACTTGAGGAGGCAATTGTTTGTGCAGTACCAGACTGGTGTTGGTCATAAGAAAGATACCATAGGACAGATGCAATGTGGGCACAGCAGCCGACTACTCTGGCACCAACCTTACATTGACAATACCAGCCTGATATTGGGGTCAGTCCATTAGAATATTCAATCCAAAGATTGTACACCTTCGAAGCAACATGTCGTGAATGAATCGGAACTTTAATCAAGTCAGGTTTCTCCCTGCATAGCATAAGTTCATACTGACCATCTTCAGCTAAGTGCTCTTTGGTGTAGGATTTTGCCTGTTTCAGCTGATATACCCCCATGGTAAGATCTCTCAACTCTGGTTCTGATAACTTTGGGAAATCAGGCAAACTGGCCTCATCAAGCTTTACCCAAATAGACCACTTCCTTGTTAACCCTTCTGCCTCAATAAGAGTTTGAAGTTTGTTAGGTGTTTTGGACAATGCCATCATTCTCTCGGCAATTACAATGTCATTGGGAGAATTTGAAGCAAGTGGAGGGCAAAAGGCATTGCAAATTGCACAAACAATTCGTACAAAATCTCCTACAACGGGAATTAATGTGTTTGGCAATACATGTCCCGACGTCTTCCACTGCTTAATCCGTCCATTGGCTGACTCAACAACCCACCTTACCATTGTAACAAGACGGGATTCATTTGCTTCTTTGATGGTATATTGCTTCTGACCCTTCGGTAGAAAAAATGGCATTTCTGTTTTGATACCAGAATCCCTCAAAAAATCTGTCACATCTCTAAAGCCTCCGTCAACAACAAGGACATCATCATCTTGAAACTAATCATTGATGTTCTCAGTGATAGTTTTGAGCATGTGCTTTGTGATATTGGCATCATTGTTTCGACCATCTGCTAAATACGGACCAAGAACAGACAAGATATAACCATCAGAAGCTACAAGAAGCATTGGCTTCAAGAGAGGACGTGCCTTTTGCATTGAGAAAGAGCGACGTTGGAATGTGTAATTACTGGATTACTGGATAAGTGCCATCAGCAACAATCACAGCGACATCCTCACCTGAGGCAAACGTTGTATTTGCAAATATTGTTGTATGCACAACAGAGGATTTCTGGATTGCGCACAAAATATATGACAAACGAAGAGTCCCCTACAAAGGGTCTCCCAAATTGGAATGAATGCAGTGAAAACGTACCCCAGCCAAATAAAGCTTAATTGTGTCAAATTTGATTCTCAAGGCGTGCTGACAGTGGGTAACAAACTGGATAAGGAGGTCCTCACAAATGGCAGGCAGAGAGCCGGTGGGATAAGCGATGCCCTGCATGAGCACAAATGAAAGGAAACAATTGAGCCCTGAGCAGTAAGTAGCCATAGTCCTTTTGCTCAAGGCTTCATTCCACAGATTGTTGACCTGAGAGTTTAACTCATCATCAAAGCAGACATAGGAAGACGAGGAATTGGGAAGACAACTACCTGGGGTGCCAGCTGCCTGAACCGTCATCCAGGAATGTTAACAGCATGAACCACAAAGTAATTGATCGCGGAATTCACTGTAAGTCTACGCATGAGACTCATACTGCTTTTAACTTTAGAACAACCTTTGGCAATAATTTCCAAAGTAGAAGAATTGTCCTAATGAAATAGTATTCTTTTCCTGTGCCACAAGTGGCCCCATAAAACACAAGCCATGACAATGGGGTACAGTTCAAAAAGAGCCATTGATGCACAATGGGGTACAGTTCAAAAAGAGCCATTGATGCGTCTTTGAGTTGTTCAGGTTATGCAAAATAGCAAAAAAATGTTCCATGGTAGTAGTAGCGTTAGCTTGAGCTGGTTCCACCACTAAGAATTCGTCCAAAAGGTGAAGTATGTGATTGATGTTGTAATTTGTTCGTGCTATCCAACAAATAGCTTGAGACAATGTATCAAACAACTTTGGGATAGAACGGCTTCCAAACACAAGTCTAGTGAAAAAACAAAACTTCTTATTCCACTGAATACCATGATACGACCACAGTTCAGGTTTAATAGGCAGCAACTTAAATGCGTCAGTAATGTCCGTTTTCATTAACCAAGCATCTAAGCCAAAGTTTTTTATAAAACGGACAGCATTGTCAATAGTGACATATTTTAATGAACACATGATTTTGTCAATAAGGCTATTAAGACTAGGGTTCAGGTCTTCTTCGTGTGGGGCAAACAAATCCATGAAGAGGCACTTCTTTTTTAATATTTATGCTCCACCAACCCAATGCGATTAATCCTATACATTGTGAAAGGTATGTTGTCAAATGGGCCAATATGATAGCCTTTTCAAAGCTCTTTATTAACTAATTCTGTTACACAGTTTGGGTCATCCAAAGCTGACTTAAGGTTTTTGCCGATAATGGAATTGATTGGTAAATGTTGGAAACCATGAGCTAATCCATGTAGAAAATTGTTAACAAAGTCTTTGTCAGGATGATGAATGAGTTCCAATCTTAAAGCCTCAATATTAATAGGAGTAGTAGCAGTGAAAGGATCGTCACAGATACGTCTGGTTATCTTTTCCTCATAGGAGGCTTCGTTGACTCTAAAGGACAGACTTGCTTGGAACGACCCCCTTTACAGTTCAAACAAACGTGCAGGAAAAAGCATGGAGATATGTTGCAGCCAAAAGAGCTATTAAAATCATTGCAAATCTTGCATCCTTCGTGAAAAACCTTGGCGCTTTCTTTAGAATCTGGTGACGAAGAATTGTGATTTCTGTTGTTATTTGTCTTAACATTCTTGGGGCCATAGCCAGAAGAGTGACATGGTTTGTCGCAAAGACTAGGACAGAAACTGGTTGTGTAGAGTGTACTGTCACATCCTTCACAAGACAAAGGTTTTGAGTTTGCAAAGATGTTGCAAAAAAGAGTATTGTCACGCACTGACCAGTCTATAGGAACATTATTGTCTCGCAATAGGCCAAAATAAATTCACTTAAGGTAAGTGACTTAGTAAGCTGAGAGTCAGGCTGTTCAGAAGTATGGCAACTAGGATGGCTTTGACCACTAAAATATGGAATGAGCAAGGCCGCTAGATTCACATCACACCCTGTAATAATTTGCTGGCAGAGGGGGGAAGAAATTGTCTCTACAAATGGTAGGGACTCCACTGCAAATCCAAACCAAGTCCTAGAACGGACAGAACTCTCACCTTGAGATGTAGCACCCATAGATGATTCGCTTTGTTGTCTATAAGCCTTGTTCAGTGTGTACATTTGATGTGTAGGTGGAGTTACTACAATGTTTCTGTCGTTGTTGGTAGTGGAGGTTGTCCTATCTAAGAGTGAGGTCAATGCGTTGGAAGTAAGTTGACTTTCGCTACCTGCCGCCACCACAGGAGATGAATACAGCCTCGTACCACTTCCAGAAGAAATGAAATGGTTTTCTAGTCTCAAATAACTTTCTTGTTACGTAGCGATACTGTCTGCTAAACTAGACACCATACGATACAAATGGCTGTTACTGTCTGTATTAATTCCATGGGCGCTGCCATCTTGTGAGTAACCATCTTGGCCCATTGCACTATGGGATCACGCACCTGCTCTATGCTCTAGTTACGCTTTGCACACGGCCTGTAGAATTTCTAGCGTCCCTCAAGTTTTAAATGAGAACCATGCGCTTGTCGTTGTTTTGAATACAATACCTCGCAATTTAAGTTCTTCTCTTAAACGTGAAAGCGTCCAATTTTCCAGAAGCTCAGGATAGTATGGTGCAGCTCGACGAGAATAGCGTTTAGGCCCAATATTGCATAAACAAACACAAGTCTTTATATAGCTCAAACACCCATGCAAGTCACGACCTATTTCACATACACAAGTATATTAACACACATGAATGGTATCCGTTGGTATAAGTCAGCACATAATAAGTAGCGAAGAGTCAAAATACAAAAACTTAACACACAGGCAAAATTGGGCAGCACAGCCAGCCTAGTTCTTGGTACAGAGTCTGAGTGACACACTTTCAAGGACCGAGAAACACTCATGAACAGGTTAAACACATGATCGGCAATAAATAGTCTGTATAAAGGTAAAGTTCGTAAAATGACGGGTGAGATACAATCACACAAAATTACTGTAGTTTAAACAAAATATTGACGTTCCATGATGAGGTAGGTTATTAGCAAAGTCTGAGCATAGATTCCAAGCAAAACTTTGAGTCGTCGAGAACATAGGCACCTAGGCCTAGTCTTCTCCAGAAAAGATTCACGCTCAAAGACACCGTGAATATCGAAGATTGCAATGATTAGCGTCAGTACTCCAAACACTGCAGGGATGTAATAAATGTAGATCATAGGGTAGAAAAGATATGTCACAAACAAACACCACCAATCATTAGAAAACAATTACTGAAGTCTGAAACTGCAATACATCATACCCCTCTAGGAGTAAATGGTGATTGGTCAATAATCCCAAAATTCCCCTAATTAGCATATCAACGTAAACATAGCTTTATTAGATAGACTTACACTGGCCCTGGAAAAACAAACCCCTCAGAATTAAACAGATACAAATGAATAATTAGCATAAGATCTAAAGCCAAGAAAGTAAACAAAACAAAATATATACCAGTAAGTTGTATATAAACTATAATTTAACATAAATTAAATCATCATATAGCAATAACAAACTTCATTGAAAAAATCTAAGATGGTCACCTGTTGGCCATTTTGGTTTTTTTTTATCAGTCCCAAAATCAAATGGGCACAACCAGGGACCGTGGGGAACCTACATATGCAATTTGAGAAACATCCATCCAGCATTTCTCAAGAAAAAGTGATAACCAAAATTGTTAACAGACGGACAGACATATGGCTGTACGATGACAGGCTTTTTTTTCAACATTATACAACCTTATATCAAATTTACCACACAGCAGTAGTTCACAATATCACTTACCTCACCCAAAACACGGAACAGGGAACTTTTACCACAGCCGTTTGGTCCACATACCAATACATTCATTCCTCCCCTCACCTGTCAAATAGTGTAACTACAACTACAAAAATGTATCTATTATTTCCAAAAATTATTTCATTTTTACCAGTGAAATATAGAAAAATAACTCAAAAACAATTTAGTCAAAGCCATTTTTAGGTTCATTGGTAATTTGGTAAAATCATTTTCGTGATTTATCCTGAAAAGGAAAACTGGTAAAAACTTTTCTCGGGAATGATCCAAAAAGAATTTGGACAAATACACCTTTAGGGATTGATCCCAAAAATAAGCTGAAATGTCAAACCAAAACGTAAATTCTGTTTATTTTTCAGGATCAATATGAAAAACCGTACCATACATGTGAGTAAAAACAATAGTGTTTATTCATGTCTTTGTGAATAGAGGATTAAATACATAGGTATAAGGCCGAATCCATAAAGTTAGTTCATAAGAATACATGACGAAAAGAGGAACACCATTTTTTCCCCCTCTTCTGGGAAAACTTATTGCTTATTGATCAATGTGTCTCTAACACTGACATACCAAAAAGCGTAGCCATTTTGACTACAGCATGTTGTTACCATCTGGTGTATTTGGTCTATAATCTGTTTACTATCTTGTCATACTATTTTCAAACTGAGTGTTCACAGTGTTATCGTACAGCTAAAAAAGTTGGTCGATTCCATCTCGTAAACTATGTACATCAGTACTATTACGGTCCACACTGGTCATTTGTCTGATCAAGGTGACCATGTAGCCATCAAACATCACACGGGTTGTGTTATAAGGACATCTATTCTATTGTTATCTCATTTCTATTTACAGATCTTACAATTAAGTACATTATACTGATACATCAACCTCAACTTACAGCATGTTGTCTCAACGTACCTCAAACGTAAGTTCTTTGATGAGTACATCTCCGTTGGGGGTGACAAGGGGCACTTTATCAAACCTAAAATCACAACAAATATTTAAATATGTAAACAATTATCACATTTATATATAGTGGATTTACTGAGGTGACATATCTTCTAAACTTCATGTAACCCTGGTAAAATACTAGACAGGGGTTCGGTGTTCAAATCCTAATGGAGGCAATGAAATCAATTATGACGTCTGTTTCATACACATGGTTACATTATAAATTAGGACAAGTAATGAATGCATTTAGCGCATATATTGTAACACTAAACACTGTTTGAAATCTGAGTAAGGTTTTCTAACACTTTCTATTTCATTGTTTTCTGTTAAAAAGGATTGTTCTGACAAAACAAAATTTTCAAATGCAGAATTTTCTTCACTATATGTGTTTTATTTCATTTATAGCAAAATTGTATCAATGTACAATTTTTCCCTTGTAAAATGTGACAATCTAATTAATGAAGTCAAAATGAAACAAACTGTTTTAATTGCTCTCCTCTCTAACATATTCCTTATCTGTTTGAAATGTCCTTCTACAACTTCTTGAATCAGTTTAAACAATTATCTTGATTTTGACAAAAAACAACAGACTTCAAATGAGGTAGTGATCCTGGTTTAGGTATTTGAGGTATTACAGTTGTTGTACAGTGTATCTAAATCTTACTTGATGAGGTGATCCTGGTTAAGTACTGTGTATCTAAATCTTACTTGATGAGGTGATCCTGGTTAAGTACTGTGTATCTAAATCTTACTTGATGAGGTGATCCTGGTTAAGTACTGTGTATCTAAATCTTACTTGATGAGGTGATCCTGGTTAAGTACTGTGTATCTAAATCTGACTTGATGAAATGATCCTGGTTTAGTACTGTGTATCTAAATCTTACTTGATGAGGTGATCCTGGTTTAGCACTGTGTATCTAAATCTTACTTGATGAGGTGATCCTGGTTTAGTACTGTGTATCTAAATCTTACTTGATGAGGTGATCCTGGTTTAGCACTGTGTATCTAAATCTAACTTGATGAGGTGATCCTGGTTTAGCACTGTGTATCTAAATCTTACTTGATGAGGTGATCCTGGTTTAGTACTGTGTATCTAAATCTTACTTGATGAGGTGATCCTGGTTTAGCACTGTGTATCTAAATCTTACTTGATGAGGTGATCCTGGTTTAGTACTGTGTATCTAAATCTTACTTGATGAGGTGATCCTGGTTTAGTACTGTGTATCTAAATCTTACTTGATGAGGTGATCCTGGTTTAGTACTGTGTATCTAAATCTTACTTGATGAGATGATCCTGGTTTAGTACTGTGTATATAAATCTTACTTGATGAGTTGATTCTGGTTTAGTACTGTGTATCTAAATCTTACTTGATGAGGTGATCCTGGTTTACTATTTGTCCAGTTCCTGCTTTGAAAGTCTGAGTCTGCTCATCTTTTGCTGGAAATTAACAGGTTACTGATGATGTAATGATGTAAATGTATGATCTATCAAACAAGGAATTAATTCCCTTCAGTCTGTTTAAATTCACTGTTTGATGAGTTAATACAACATCCCTAGCAATAGCCAATACATGAAATGTAAAACATGGATAAAAAGCCTAAATAAGTTAACATTAATAATGGCCAACAATAATGGAATATATTTATTTTTTGATTCGTGGAATTTTATATCAGATTTCATAGTCTCTGGTCAGTGTTGTTAACATAGAACATTCATAGACATCTCATGTTTAATCCAAGGAGGTCAGCCATAAAAGCACAGAATAGGTGATGGTTGTGAACAAGTATTATCTTCAGAGAGAGGGTGTCATGGGTCTCTATTCAGATCCTTCAATAACTTGTCACTTGGGATAGTCAAGCACATCCAGCTAATGTACTGGGATAATTTTCACACAAATTTATGATAAGCACAAAATTTTTGTTTTAAATCTAATACATAGAATTTACAACTCACATTTGTTTTGTTCTGACACCATAGTCCTTTCATATCGGCCTTTGTTGAGATCATCCAAGACGCGCATGAGCTCTGTGATCCTTGAGGTAAATCTGGGACACATATTGATACACATTTCAAAATGAGTTTGACAGCTGACACTTGTAAACCTCTATCAATAGACATTTTAATGTCAAGTCTGACGCTGACAATTCCATGCTTTTCTGTTCTTTATCAGGGTTTATTAAAAATCAACAAGCTGCTTACCCCGCTAGTCTTGTCATCTCTCGTCCAGCCAGGACAATCCGGCCAATGGCTTCAGCCATTCGTACCAACATCCTTCCACTCTTATAGTAGTCCTGCCGATGCATAGAATATATGTAAAATGGTGCTTATTTTATGTTACAGAGCATAACAGGTAGTATATCAAACACTACAACATGGGATAATTTACAGTATATTAAACAGTACATCACAGGATAATTCACAGTATATCAAACAGTACAACACAGGATAATTCACAGTATAACATTCCGTACATCACAGGATAATTCACAGTATAACATTCCGTACATCACAGGATAATTCACAGTATATCACACAGTACATCACAAGATAATTCACAGTATATTAAACAGTACAACACAGGATAATTCACAGTATATTAAACAGTACAACATAGGATAATTCACAGTATAACACTCCGTACATCACAGGATAATTCACATTATATCAAACAGTACAACACAGGATAATTCACAGTATATCAAACAGTACAACACAGGATAATTCACAGTATAACATTCCGTACATCACAGGATAATTCACAGTATAACACACAGTACATCACAGGATAATTCACAGTATATCACACAGTACATCACAGGATAATTCACAGTATATTAAACAGTACAACACAGGATAATTCACAGTATAACACTCCGTACATCACAGGATAATTCACAGTATATTAAACAGTACAACACAGGATAATTCACAGTATACCACACAGTACAACACAAAATAATTCACAGTATATCAAACAGTACAATACAGGATCATTCACAGTATATCAAACAGCACAACAAATGATAATTCAAAGTATATTAAACAGTACAACACAGGATAATTCACAGTATATCACACAGTACATCACAGTATAATTCACAGTATATCAAACAGTACAACACAGGATAATTCACAGTATTACAAACAGTACAACACAGTATAATTCACAGTATATTAAACAGTAACAACACAGGATAATTCACAATATATTAAACAGTAACAACACAGGATAATTCACAGTATAACACACAGTACAACACAGAATAATTCACAGTATATCAAACAGTACAACATAGGATAATTCACAGTATTACAAACACTACAACATGGGATAATTCACAGTATATCACACAGTACAATACCGGATAATTCACAGTATATCAAACAGTACAACACAGGATAATTCACAGTATATCAAACAGTACAACACAAGATAGTTCACAGTATATCAAACAGTAAAACACAGGATAATTCACAGTATAACACACAATACAACATAGAATAACTCACAGTATATCAAACAGTACAACACAGGATAATTCACAGTATATCACACACTACAACACAGGATAATTCACAGTATTTCACACAATACAACATAGAATAATTCACAGTATAACACACAGTACAACACAGAATAATTCACAGTATTACACACAATACAACACAGGATAATTCACAGTATTACAAACACTACAACACAGGATAATTCACAGTATATCACACAGTACATCACAGGATAATTCACAGTATTACAAACACTACAACACAGGATAATTCACAGTATATTAAACAGTACAACACAGGATAATTCACAGTATAACACTCCGTATATCACAGGATAATTCACAGTATATCAAACAGTACATCACAAGATAATTCACAGTATATCAAACAGTACAACACAGGATAATTCACAGTATTACAAACAGTACAACACAGTATAATTCACAGTACATTAAACAGGTACAACACAGGATAATTCACAGTATAACACACAGTACAACATAGAATAACTAACAGTATTACAAACAGTACAACACAGGATAATTCACAGTATTACAAACACTACAACATGGGATAATTCACAGTATATCAAACAGTACAACAAATGATAATTCACAGCATATCAAACAGAACAACACAGGATAATTCACAGTATTACAAACAGTACAACACAGGATTTTTCACAGTATAACACTCCGTATATCACAGGATAATTCACAGTATAACACACAGTACATCACAGGATAATTCACAGTATTACAAACACTACAACACAGGATAATTCACAGTATATCAAACAGTACAACACAGGATAATTCACAGTATAACACTCCGTACATCACAGGATAATTCACATTATATCAAACAGTACATCACAGGATAATTCACAGTATATCACACAGTACATCACAGGATAATTCACAGCATATTAAACAGTACAACACAGGATAATTCACAGTATAACACTCCGTACATCACAGGATAATTCACAGTATATTAAACAGTACAACACAGGATAATTCACAGTATACCACACAGTACAACACAAAATAATTCACAGTATATCAAACAGAACAATACAGGATAATTCACAGTATATCAAACAGTACAACACAGGATAATTCAAAGTATATTAAACAGTACAACACAGGATAATTCACAGTATATCACACAGTACATCACAGGATAATTCACAGTATATGAAACAGTACAACACAGTATAATTCACAGTATATTAAACAGTAACAACACAGGATAATTCACAATATATTAAACAGTAACAACACAGGATAATTCACTGTATATCAAACAGTACAACATAGGATAATTCACAGTATATCACACAGTACAATACCGGATAATTCACAGTATATCAAACAGTACAACACAGGATAATTCACAGTATAACACACAATACAACATAGAATAACTCACAGTATATCAAACAGTACAACACAGGATCATTCACAGTATTACAAACAGTACAACACAGTATAATTCACAGTATATTAAACAGTAACAACACAGGATAATTCACAATATATTAAACAGTAACAACACAGGATAATTCACAGTATAACACACGGTACAACACAGAATAATTCACAGTATATCAAACAGTACAACATAGGATAATTCACAGTATTACAAACACTACAACATGGGATAATTCACAGTATATCACACAGTACAATACCGGATAATTCACAGTATATCAAACAGTACAACACAGGATAATTCACAGTATATCACACACTACAACACAGGATAATTCACAGTATAACACACAATACAACATAGAATAATTAACAGTATTACACACAGTACAACACAGAATAATTAACAGTATTACACACAATACAACACAGGATAATTCACAGTATTACAAACACTACAACACAGGATAATTCACAGTATATCACACAGTACATCACAGGATAATTCACAGTATTACAAACACTACAACACAGGATAATTCACAGTATATTAAACAGTACAACACAGGATAATTCACAGTATAACACTCCGTATATCACAGGATAATTCACAGTATTACAAACACTACAACACAGGATAATTCACAGTATATCACACAGTACATCACAGGATAATTCACAGTATTACAAACACTACAACATGGGATAATTCACAGTATATCAAACAGTACATCACAGGATAATTCACAGTATTACAAACACTACAACATGGGATAATTCACAGTATATCAAACAGTACAACAAAGGATAATTCACAGCATATCAAACAGTACAACACAGGATAATTCACAGTATATTAAACAGTACAACACAGGATTTTTCACAGTATAACACTCCGTATATCACAGGATAATTCACAGTATAACACACAGTACATCACAGGATAATTCACAGTATATTAAACAGTACAACACAGGATAATTCACAGTATATCAAAAAGTACAACATAGGATAATTCACAGTATAACACACAGTACAATACAGGGTAATTCACAGTATATCACACAATACAACACAGGATAATTCACAGTATTACAAACACTACAACACAGGACAATTCACAGTATAACACACAATACAACACAGAATAATTCACAATATATTAAACAGTAACAACACAGGATAATTCACAGTATAACACACAGTACAACACAGGATAATTCACACTATATCAAACAGTAAAACACAGGATAATTCACAATATATCAAACAGTACAACACCGGATAATTTCACAGAATAACACACAGTACAACACAGGACAATTCAGAGTATATCAAACAGTATAACACAGAATAATTCACAGTATTACAAACACTACAACATGGGATAATTCACAGTATATCAAACAGTACAACACAGGATAATTCACAGTATATCAAACAGTACAATACAGGATAATTCACAGTATATCAAACAGTACAACACAGGATAATTCACAGTATAACAGTATAACACTACAGTACAACACAGGATAATTCACAGTATAACACAACAGTAACATCACAGGATAATTCACAGTATATCAAACAGTACAACAAATGATAATTCACAGCATATCAAACAGTACAATACAGGATAATTCACAGTATATCAAACAGTACAACACAACAAATGGATAAATCACAGCATATCAAACAGAACAACACAGGATAATTCACAGTATATCAAACAGTACAACACAGGATAATTCACAGTATATCAAACACAGTAGTACAACACAGGATAATTCACAGTATATACAAACAGTACAACACAGGATAATTCACAGTATATTACAACACAAACACTACAACACAGGATAATTCACAGTATATCACACACATTCACAGTATAATTCACAGTATACAAACAGTACAACACAGGATAATTCACAGTATATCAAAAAGTACAACATAGGATAATTCACAGTATAACACACAGTACAACACAGAATAATTCACAGTATTACACACAATACAACACAGGATAATTCACAGTATTACAAACACTACAACACAGGATAATTCACAGTATATTAAACAGTACAACACAGGATAATTCACAGTATATCACACAGTACAACACAGGATAATTCACAGTATATCGAACAGTACAATACAGGATAATTCACAGTATATCAAACAGTACATCACAAGATAATTCACAGTATATCAAACAGTACAACACAGGATAATTCACAGTATTACAAATAGTACAACACAGTATACAAACAGTACAACACAGGATAATTCACAGTATTACACACAGTACAACACAGGATAATTCACAGTATATTAAACAGTACAAC